TATAGGGTGTCTATATGGTGTCTATAGGGTGTCTATAGGCTGTCTATAGGGTGTCTATATGGTGTCTATAGGGTGTCTATAGGGTGTCTATAGGGTGTCTATAGGGTGTCTATATGGTGTCTATAGGGTGTCTATAGGGTGTCTATAGGGTGTCTATAGGGTGTCTATAGGGTGTCTATAGGGTGTCTAAAGGCTGTCTATAGGGTGTCTATAGGCTGTCTATAGGGTGTCTATAGGCTGTCTATAGGGTGTCTATAGGGTGTCTATAGGGTGTCTATAGGGTGTCTATAGGGTGTCTATAGGGTGTCTATAGGGTGTCTATAGGGTGTCTATAGGCTGTCTATAGGGTGTCTATAGGGTGTCTATAGGGTGTCTATAGGCTGTCTATAGGGTGTCTATAGGTTGTCTATAGGGTGTCTATAGGGTGTCTATAGGGTGTCTATAGGGTGTCTATAGGGTGTCTATAGGGTGTCTATAGGGTGCCTATAGGTTGTCTATAGGGTGCCTATAGGGTGTCTATAGGGTGTCTATAGGGTGTCTATAGGGTGTCTATAGGGTGTCTATAAGGTGTCTATAGGGTGTCTATAGGGTGTCTATAGGGTGTCTATAAGGTGTCTATAAGGTGTCTATAGGGTGTCTATAGGGTGTCTATAGGGTGTCTATAGGGTGTCTATATGGTGTCTATAGGGTGTCTATAGGCTGTCTATAGGGTGTCTATATGGTGTCTATAGGGTGTCTATAGGCTGTAGAGGCTGTCTATAGGGTGCCTATAGGGTGCCTATAGGGTGTCTATAGGGTGTCTATAGGGTGTCTATAGGGTGTCTATAGGGTGTCTATAGGGTGTCTATAGGGTGTCTATAGGGTGCCTATAGGGTGCCTATACTATAGGGTGTCTATAGGGTGTCTATAGGGTGTCTATAGGGTGTCTATAGGGTGTCTATAGGTTGTCTATAGGGTGTCTATAGGGTGTCTATAGGGTGTCTATAGGGTGTCTATAGGGTGTCTATAGGGTGTCTATAGGGTGTCTATAGGGTGTCTATAGGGTGTCTATAGGTTGTCTATAGGGTGCCTATAGGGTGTCTATAGGGTGTCTATAGGGTGTCTATAGGTTGTCTATAGGGTGTCTATAGGGTGTCTATAGGGTGTCTATAGGGTGTCTATAGGGTGTCTATAGGGTGTCTATAGGGTGTCTATAGGGTGTCTATAGGTTGTCTATAGGGTGTCTATAGGGTGTCTATAGGGTGTCTATAGGGTGTCTATAGGGTGTCTATAGGGTGTCTATATAGGGTGTCTATAGGGTGTCTATAGGGTGTCTATAGGGTGTCTATAGGGTGTCTATAGGGTGTCTATAGGGGTGTCTATAGGGTGTCTATAGGGTGTCTATAGGGTGTCTATAGGGTGTCTATAGGGTGTCTATAGGGTGTCTATAGGGTGTCTATAGGGTGTCTATAGGGTGTCTATAGGGTGTCTATAGGTTGTCTATAGGGTGCCTATAGGGTGTCTATAGGGTGTCTATAGGGTGTCTATAGGGTGTCTATAGGTTGTCTATAGGGTGTCTATAGGGTGTCTATAGGGTGTCTATAGGGTGTCTATAGGGTGTCTATAGGGTGTCTATAGGGTGTCTATAGGGTGTCTATAGGGTGTCTATAGGTTGTCTATAGGGTGTCTATAGGTTGTCTATAGGGTGCCTATAGGGTGTCTATAGGGTGTCTATAGGGTGTCTATAGGGTGTCTATAGGGTGTCTATAAGGTGTCTATAGGGTGTCTATAGGGTGTCTATATGGTGTCTATAGGGTGACTCCACTTTCTTGAGGTGAAAATGGGAAACTTCACTAATTTCTTGAGAAGCAATTCAGTTTAACCGCCACCCCCTTTTTGTTTCTTTTTTTCTTGTCTAGGTCACCCAGGTCAACCGGTTAGTTACACGGAAAATTATACCAACATCCGAAGCATTACAGCCAAAAAATAAACAATAAATAAGCTTGTCAACTGCAATCCCCAAAAAAAAAAAAAAAAAAAAAAAAAAAAAAAAACATGCTGCAGTGAAAATTCTCATCAACACAAAATATAGAGCATTAAAAAATATCTAAATCTATGAAATCGTAACAGATCTACAGATAATAACCATATGTGCATGTTCTATTCTAGGGGGATTTTTGTTGTTGTTGTTGAGCGCCGACGGGACGTCGGAGGTACACCTGAAAAACGGGACTTTTTCGCTGAAAACAAGATTTATAGTAACCCGAGGATATCATGGTCGGCTTATATCGTATGCTGATGAAAGCTTTATAGCCAGAACATCACTTTGTCGTTCTTGATCGTGGTTTTGCGAAGCTTACTAGTTTTACTTCCGGTTTAGGTTGATATGTTTAATGTTATTATAATGGAAATAATCCGGTACGTAAATAAGTATTTATTCTTCTGTGTTTGATCGCAAAATAAGATTTTCTCACCAAACTTCTCATATCTGCTGAATGTTAAATGCTGAATTAAGAATCGACATCACAGCACTCGGGACACCCCCATAAGCGCTCCCTCCACATCTTTAGCAGCAAGCGAAGAGTTAAAATTCCTATGGTACCAGTAACTGTCTGATTTTATATCCGTCTCGCCTTTCCCCTGAGTGTCGAGAGTCGGTCAGATCCCATTGTAACTCCTCGCAGTGCAATTCTCCTCAGCGATATCTGCAGTTCTTGTTGTATTCATTTATGTTCGAATACAAAGATGTCATTTCCAGTAAGGACTGACTGACTTTCTATCCCACCAGGACACCACACAAGCGATAAACACCTGATGACACAAAGTGTCACCATGTGGATGAGGATCACCGTGGAGAGGTCCCACAAACCGCGTTCAGACAATAGGCCATATTGATGGCCTGTCTATATTGCGGCCCCTGGCAAAAGCCAGAGTGGGGTTTCAAATAACACAAAATTACGTCCTAAAAAGGACGTAAGAGATACAACCAGTAAGGAAAAGTGTTTAAATGCTTTATAGAACCTATGCCCGTCTCTCTAGCGTAGTTGGCTAAACCGGATTACGCGGTGAGCGGGTGACGAACTCCTTGTGGTCCGGGTTCACTCCCGGGGGAAGGCAGAAAAGCCACACTTTCTCCCAGATTTACGGTATTTACAATGGAATCAAGGCCGAAAGGTTGCGATATTCATAATACCGAGCCTAAGGGTTAACAACTCATGGCTTCTGGATATTAAAACAAACAATAAAACCTATGCTGGTATCTGCGTGTGAGACATGGACAATCAGTAGACAGGCTTAAGGTAGAGCTCATCTATCCAAATTTTGTATCATTGATTATGTCACCACACCCCTTTTTTTCCAAATATAATATAAACACTGACCCCATCAAAACATTTATCTAATTATATGTTTGTGATTATTTTCTTTGGTTTATGTATTTGTATGACAGCGAAATTTTACGTAAACTATGTAACGACGCCGCCACTAAAAAAATAATAGGGATCTCACCCTCATTATAATTGTCTAGAGGGCGTGGAAAGCCTTGTTTCAGTGCACACTAATGGATGCTGGATGGCATAATATATTGGAAATACTATAAAACTTGTAAACGAATACTCTAGAAAAGTCATCTATACATTAATTTTTTTGTTTGCGGAGTGTGGTTGAATTAAGGACAAGCAGACCCTTGCAAATTGTCTCGGGTGGGTTTAAGTCCCCTAAATACGACTGAATTAAGGCTGGGAAAGGAGAAACGCACCCCAGGCCGAGGACACATTTCTTACCCACATATGACTGCAGGTTAGTCTGATGTGGTCGAGTGCTTTAGTCTGAACTACTTGTTTGAAAAGTGCCTTGCTGGTGTGCCATCCGGACTGAGGTTTAAATCTCTGGGTGTCGGACGAAATAGCAGTACAACACAGACGAAAACATCACGCAGTTAGGGGCTACAATTTAAGACAAAAGTTAATCGTATGTTAAAGAACATGATAGTAGTAGTAGCACATGACACAAGCGATAAACACCCGATGACACAAAGTGCCACCATGCGGATGAGGATCACCCGTGAAGAGGTCCCGGAAACCGTGTTAAGCCAATAGACCATATTAATGGCCGGACTATCTTGTTGTCCCATGGCAAGAGCCAGGGTGGGGCTTCAAAATAACGAAAAATTGCATCCCACAAGCGAATGGCTGTAAGCTTGTAAGAATATGATGACAAGAACTAAATTTATATGCTTTCATTGATTGTCTACACTGGTGGTTTTCAACTCAGAGGGCATCACAACTTTACATGTGTACCTTTATTTCATATTCGCTTCATTGGCGGAAAGTTGTGGCTGTATATCCATGTTACTTGTCACTATTCTTATTATTAGTGTTTGGGATTTCTTTGACATCTTTTATATCTGCTGTTAAATTGTAGAGGGGCGCTTACCACACATTCAAGGGGACGTCAACACCAAGTTTGAAAAACACCGGTCTGCAGAGAAGAAAATGTACAACGAAAAGTATTACACGCAGCAACGAAAAATGCAATTATATTCACATCAGAGATTACTTACTCTTCGTGAGCACTGGGTGGCCGTGAAAAGTACCATTATTAAGTGTCATGCGCAAAACGAGATCGTACACATCCGGTTTACTTGGCTGCGGCTGCGGTCTTCTTGAGAGTCTTCACCTTCTTGGCTGGGTTCTTGTCCACTTTTGGCCTGGCGGCCTTGGGCTTGGCTGCTGCTGCTTTCTTGGCTGGGGTTTTGGCTTTCTTGGGCTTTGTGGAGGCCGCCTTCTTTGGGGATTTTGGGCTTCTTTGCAGCTGCGGTTTTCTTGACTGCAGTCTTCTTCGGGGACTTCGGCAGCTCTGCCTTCTTGGACTTTGCAGCTTTTGGGGGAGATTTAGGCTTAGCGGCTTTCTTGGCCTTGGGAGCTTTCTCTCCAAGACTGGAAATACTATAAAACTTGTAAACGAATACTCTAGAAAAGTCATCTATACATTAATTTTTTTGTTTGCGGAGTGTGGTTGAATTAAGGACAAGCAGACCCTTGCAAATTGTCTCGGGTGGGTTTAAGTCCCCTAAATACGACTGAATTAAGGCTGGGAAAGGAGAAACGGCAGCTCCAGTTCCCTTTGGACTGTTTCAGACTTCCAGCGGTCACTCCGGCTTTCAGGGCAGCCTTGAGACGAGCGTTGATGGCGGTAGGGTTGTCTCCCACCTTGTAGTTGGCGATGATGTATTTCAAGATGGCTTGGCGAGAAGAACCACCACGTTCCTTCAAAGCGGAGACTTCATCGGCAATCATGGCCTTGTAATTCAGGTGAGCAACTGCAGTCTTGGGTTTGCTGGAGGCAACCTTTTTCTTGGCGGCTTTGGCTGGAGCAGCAGCGGCAGCTGGGGCAACGGTAGCGGCGTCATACATTATGAAATATGAAGGCAGGCGGTGACTGGTAACGGCACACAGTGAGACAGAAGCCTTCTGCTATAATTGTTTTTTCCAATCTGTCGTGGCGCTTGATATGACCAAAATATTTCAGCTTCCAATTGTTGGTGTTGCTAGAATGTCACATCTATAAGCTTTCAGGTGTGCCCCGATCTCAGTTTGACGTTACACAATGAATATATATGGCCGAGGGTTGCTACTGGCTGAGTCGGTTATATCACACCATCCCTCCTTTCATGTATTGATTACCTCCCTATTTCTGGATTTCATATGAGAAAATTGCTTCTTATTGATTACATCCCTTTGTTGTGGCTTCCGCACTGATGTTCATTAAGTGCAGCGAATCACTCTTCTTCTTTTTCTTCTTCTTCTTCTTTTTCTCACTTCTTCTTCCTGTTGGTATTTGTTGTTGTTGTTATAAGAATGTGTATGTCTTTTTAATGTGACGGCGATATTTTAATTACCCATCTTTTAGTTTCCTTAAACAACTCTTTCATTTCTAGTGGATACGTTAATCACCTATCTAGCCGTCCTTAATAGGATGCTAATGCCAGGGTTCCGCAATATAGCCCGGTCATAAATATGGTCTAATGGCTGAACGCTGTTTCTGGGACCTCTCCACTGGTCTTCTTCTTTTTCTTCGATCCTTCTGTCAGAAAACTTATATCAGGAGACCGGTAGGCTTTATGAAAGCTATCGTGCAATCCGTATCCTCTCGTGTACCATACAGTTTTGTCTTCAGTGTGGTTGGAACAGGCCAGATTGCGTTTCTGCTGTCAGCATACAGTTGACAGTGTTGGAGCACATGCTTAGCATTTTCGGGTGCCACGCTGCAGGGACACGTCTCCGTATTTCCTACACCGAAAAATTTGAACATATGTTGACGAAATCTGTTGTGCCCAGTCCTTAGTATGAATATAATACACTGTCCCTCTCTGGAGAGGCAATGAAGTGAGTCTTGGGGAGAAAATCTGGTGTGGGTATCCAGCCACCTTTCTTGGATACTAGATTGTATTAATGTTTTCATCTCTTGGTGGGTTAAGTCGCTATTTAGTTGTACCATGTCATGTCGCTTCTGGCCAATCTGTCCGCTATTTCATTGCCTTCCAAACCACAGTGACTTGGAATCCACTGCAGTACAGATTGTTCTACTGAAGAGCTTAAGTAAATCATCTGTTGCGTCAAGTCTACAAACTGAATGTCTTTTGGGTTAACAATTGCTTGTAGAACTGACATAGCATCAGTCAGAAAGACCACTCTGCTATATTTGCTGTGCTGTTGTCCATTCAGTAAAGAACATGCCGCCAGAAGTGCTTCTGCCTCTGCTCTGTAATTGGAGGAATATGAACCTGTTGGTACAGCATGGTTGATTTTTAAACCATTTTGGCATTCTATTTATATTCCTCCTCCTCCGTCTCTTACTGCTCTCTTGGCTGAACCATCTGTATACACTCGAATCCAACTCTGGTGTGGATAAAGTCTATTGATCTCTACTTTTGTAGTTGATTTCATATCAGTGCTGCTCATTGATGATTTGGAGGAGATCCCTGTTACAGTGGTTCTGACTGTTTGTAGGCTATCCCTAAGCCAAGAGGGGGAGGGGGGGTCGTTGTAAGGTTTCAGTGAAACATTTGGTATTATGGGAGAGAGTTTAAGGACAGCGAGCTTGGCATTTGCGTTCTTAATAAAACAGGTTCTCTTTAGTCTAGCCTTTTGGTGTTTCTGCAGTCGGCTGTACATGGGTTGTTCTTTAAAGTGGTGGTATTTGGAGAGCTGGGTGAGGATCTTTGTGTCTCTCCTATCTTCCAGATTATGGAGACCAGTAATTGTTTCCATATCTGATATGGGCGTGGAGCGCATTGCCCCGGTCATAATACGGAGAGCATGGTTTTGGATCTTTGAGACTTTCTGAAAATTTGATTTAGCTGCTGTGCCCCAAGCAGCTATTCCATATTCTAGTGTTGGCCTCACATAGCCTGTATAGGTCCTCTTGAGGACACGGAGGTTTGCCCCTCAGTTTGTTCCAGTTAACTTCCTCATCAGTTGTGTTCTCTTGAGTCCCTTGCTCTGTGTCTTTTCTATCTGTTTTCTCCATGTGAGTCTTGAGTCAAAGGTTACTCCTAAATATGACGGTGAGTCATCATGTGTCAGTGCCTGGCTGCCATATGTAAGTAAAACTTTCTGGGGTTTGGTAGAGAGACTGAAAATGGTGTGTGTGGTTGTGGCCCCATTTACAGGCATGTACCAGCTATTGGACCACCTCTCTAGAGTTCCGAGGGATTCTTGAAGCCTTGTCTGTGCTTTTTCAGTGTCCTCCTCTGAACTCAGTAGCGCCAGATCATCGGCATACATAACGGCTTGAACACCACAGAGGGTTGATTTTATGTCGTTAATGTAAACTAGGAAAAGAATTGGGGACAAAACTCCGTTTTGTGGAACTCTATGTTTCATTGAGACTGATCTCTCCTTGAACCCTGTATCTTGACTCTTGCAGATCGATTTTCAAGATATTTTACGATCCACCCAGGCATGTGATGGGAAATTCCACTTTCAAGTAGCTTTTGTTTTAGCCCATTTTTCCACACTTAGTCGAAGGCCTTTTCCATATCCACCCAGACTGCAATTGTGTGCTTTTTGTTCCTGGAATGCATCTTCAATGTGTTGAGCAATAAATGTAATTTGGTCTTCTGTTGATCTACAACGTCTAAAACCTGCATGTTCCTCCATTAGTTTGAGGTTTTTATCTAGGAACCAGGTCAGTCGGTTGTTCAATAATCTTTCAAATAGTTTGCACAGACAGCTAGTGAGGCTGATGGGTCTGTAGCTGTCTGCGTTGTTCGTCGGCTTTCCTTGTTTCAGGATTACGAAGATTTCAGACTTCCTCCAGGCTGGAGGAACTATACTAAAAATCCAGCTGGCATTAAAGATGTTTAATAATTTCTTTTTGGCACTTGGGCCCATGTGTAGTAACATATCATTCATGATTTTATCGGGGCCAGGGGCTTGGTTGGATTTCAGCTGGTTGAGTCCTGTGTTAAGTTCACTCATTGAGAATTTATCTGTCATGATGCTCTCTGCTGGTTTACTCTTGCTGGCCCCTCGAGTTCTTTGATTCTTTGTACTACCTCATCTTCTCTGGAATATTCTATATTAATATCACTAACAGATTTAAACTGATTTAAAAGGAAATTTGAAGCGTCGTTTCCAGATCTGATCTCATTGCCCTCATTTATTGCTACTGGATAGGCTTGTTGGGCTTCTCGATTTAGACACTTGACTAGTTTCCAGAGTTTGGACCCATCTTTTTCAAAACTTAGGCTCTTGGTTTTGTCTTGCCAGCTCTTCCTAGTTGCTTGGATTGTTTCTTTTTTTAGCTTAGCTTCTGCTGCTTTGTAAGCAATGTTGTTTTCTACCGTTGGGTTGCTTTCTGCTCTATCTCTTGCTTCTGAGAGAGTTTGGTGAAGGTCTTGAATTTGTTGGGACCAAAATTGGATGTAATCTTTCTTTGAACCCCGAGGTATGGTTTCTTTGGCTGCTTTTAATATAGCTTCTGTAAACTCTTTTACTGATTTAGCAACCTGAGTTGATTTGCTGTTTACAGTTATCGAGTATACATCAGCAAGGGTAGCAAAACTGTTCCAGTCAGCTTTCTTGTAATTCCATCGAATAAAGGCCTCACATATTTAGAACAGAAATCAGGATCGGTCGATGGTCACTACTTGCTAGTTGGCTGAGCACCGTTTTGTGTATGTTGCTTGCCAAGTCTAACTTGGCAAATGTTAAGTCTGGGCGGCTGGTTGAAAGCCATCTCCTGGAGAAAAAAGATGGGGAGTCATCTGGTTTGTTGATTAGCTGGAGTCTGGCATATGTCTGCCAGTCTTCAACTTCTTCTCCTCTCTCGTTGAGCTGTGACTATCCCCAGCTTGGAGAGCAGCTCTTAAAATCTCCTAGAACGATGCAATTGTTATCTGGGATTTTCATGTTGTATAACGAGAGTTCTTTGCTTGGCGGGCAGTAGCAATTGTATAAGCCTGACACCCATGATCTCAGACTCCTGTTCTGTTTTCACTCTAAGACTAGCTGCTGGGAGGCTGTTTTTTTTTACTAGGATGAGGACTCCTCCTTTGGGACCATTTTCTCTGTCCTGTCTGAAGCACTGGAAGCTTCTAATACAGAATCTGTGTTTATCTGACAGGTGCGTCTTCTGTATACAGGCAATGTCAATATTTCCGTCTGTAAGTTGTTTTGTGAGTGCAGCTTTTTTGTTGCGGACTCCCTCTGCATTCCACTGTAGAATCCTCAGAGCGCATTCGTCTTCTTCGTCCATCTTGTCCCTCTGATAGATATATTACCTAGAGTGTTTTTCTAGATTTGCGAGTGGCGACGTTGTACAGTTGCCACTTTAAACGTGATATGGTTTCACTGAAGTTTTAAAGATTAAACACCACAGTCTTCATTCCTGCTAGGGTTTTCTGACATTCAAGAAGGTATGCGTGACGTCATGTTTGTGGGAAAATATTCTCCCACACTATCTGTGCCTTTCGACCTGACGTCTCCGTCTTCAACGTGCTTTTCTATCAAGTGTGCTTTCTTAGCCCGTAACCAACCAAGGCCTGACCACCGGGCAGTGGTAGTTTAGTTTCAGAGTATCCTTCTCATAGGTGGGCGGCTGTCCCCAGCTATCGAGTCCCACCTACCCGGGAAAAATGCCTAATTAAATTTTGAACGGCACCCTGTGTTGGCGTGGCAGCGCTTCACCAGTCCGGTTGTATGCCACCGTGTACCCACAGGACAATTACTGTCTAAAATGCCATAAATCCATGAGGCCAGGTGAAACACAATCGGGCCTATCTGTGCCCCGTTGGCAAAAGAGGCTTCCGTTGCAGAAAACCTATTTTAATACACTATATTCCATTTTAAAAGAATATTGATCTACAAAGTCACACAAAAACTTTTTCATAGTAAGCCCGGTGGAACAA